GCATGGTCAGATCATGTTGAGATTGCTGGTGTATCACTGGCTTGGCCTTGATCAGCCCATCCTCCTGGTAAGTACACCTGAATGCACATCCCACCAGGAGTATTGCTTTCCAATGCCACAGCCGTGAGTCAAACCCAAGGCACACTCCCAGAACAGTTGCTGTTGGCAGTGGTTTACAGCCAAGCATGTTTCCCAAAGCTTGGGAGACAGTTCTTTCACAATCAACTTCATATAAGATGCGATACATCTATAAAAACCTTTACCTGCTTAAAATTTTCCTTCCAGTATAGAGCACATACTTATTTCCATAGCAAGAAAATGGCAGGCAGTGAAAATTGAGTGGTCACTATTATCAATATGCGACATGAAGAAACGTGTGGAGGTGGCACTGAGGGACATAGTTTAGTGGGCATAGTGATGACAGTTGGACTGGATGATCTAAGTGGTCTTTGCCAACCTCGGTGACCCTGATTCTGTTATTTTATGACATGAATAAGAGCAGGTCTTTGTAGGACTGGAAGTTCAGGCTGCTTCAGATTTCCCAGATTTCTGTTAACTTTATAATTTTAAGATTGTTGATGCAATTTTATAGGCAAGATAAATTAGTTAATGCTTAGGGTCTGGAAAACAAGGTTGCTTCCTCTCAGAAAAAAACTCTCTCCTCTTCCCAAATTTCATCTTTAGTTTTTACCCATGGTAGAAAGCTTCTGTGTTCTGAATAGCACTGGGTTATGCAATGTTCTTGACATCTTGTCTTCTGATTCATAGAAGCATAGCAATTACAACTCATAAAGATAGAAACATAGAATCACTAATATCATGTAGTCCAACTGTCCACCTACTACCAATATTTCCCAGCTAAACCACGTCCCTGAGTACCACATCTACACGTTTCTTGAATGCTCCAGGGACAGGGACTCCAACACCTCCCTGGGCAGCCCATTCTAATACCTCACATCTCTTTTGGAGAATAATTTTTTCCTATAACCAACCTGAAACTCCCCTGGAACAACCTCAAGCTATTCCCCCAGCTGGTCCTTAGAACTTCCCTCTCTGGTCACTTTTTTTTCTTTTTTCTTTCCAGTAGATCAATATCACAAGCTCTTGAAACTGGTTGAGTAAAAATAAGCTTGGTTGTTCCAGAACAGTAAAAGACATCTACATTGGTAGTAAGCTTGTTTGAAGAAGAAATATTTGTTTAATATTATTCTATTTTAGGGGATGGGGAACAGTGACAAGAAGTCTCCAGTTTCACCCCATCCAGCACTGCACTATCAGAGGTAGGATCAGACTGTGAGTAACCACTCCAGATTTGCTCAAAGGGTTAACTCCTCTCCCACTCCAGTGTACAGATAACAGAGTAGCCAATATGTACAGTTCCCAGAAAGCCTTGGGGGTCCAGACCTTACACCTCAGCAGCCCCATGCAGAAAAGCTGTTGCCTAACCCCTTGTGATGGGCAGAGCAGAGTTGTTGACTGTCCTCATCACAGGAGAATGGAATGGCTTCTGTACAATGCAAGGGTGAGTCCTGGCAGCTGGGTGCTATACAGCACAAATGGAGGTGCTTAGGCACAGAAGTAAATATGTAAATGGAGAAACACCAATGTAAATAAGTAAATGGGGAAACACCAATGTGTCTGCATCAGGATGGAAGATGAATTGTAATGCAAAAAGTAAGATGTCACAAGAAGCATTATGCCTAATGAAATCCTAGCTCTGCTCAGTATCAGCAGCCAGAGTCCTGCTGATTTCAGCAGGCTGAGGATTCTACCAGGGGTTAAGATGTGCACCCTGACAATACCAGGGTAATTCAGAGCAAACCAAAATGGCAAGGTCTACTTGGAGCTGCAACTCAGCCAGCAGCTGCCAGCTGTAAGCATTTAGCAATGGGCAGGTGCCATAATCTCCTTGTCATCTCTTGCTTTGCATCTCCGGTGATTATTTAGAAATCAGTGCACTTAATGTAAAGAAAACCCATCCCCAACAGGGCTCTGATGTAGCACACATCAGAAACATCTATGGTCTTTGTTTGCTTTTAAAGGAATGTATCTGACAACTTGAGCTCTGTGGTGTCAAAGATTTTAAGGCCTGGAGGGACTGTTACCATCTTCTAGTCTGAACTTCAGCATAAAACAGGCTACAAAACTCCACCAAATAATTCCTGCATTAGAGCAATGGCTTCTGGATGAGTTATAGATCATCTCTTAAAAAGACTTTCAGCCTTGGTTTGAAGACTTTATGTGACAGAGAGAATCTATGACATCTGCAGGTAGGTAGCTTCAGTCACTCCTTGTGCTTCAGCAGTTTTTATTAATACAGTGAGTGTTTGTTCTTGTCATATTAGCATTCTCATGTCCTATATCCATCTACAGTGCAACATATGGCAGCAGGATAATGAAAATGCCCTGTGTCTGTGACTACAGTAGATCATAAGTTAAAGAACTGCTAAAATAAAAATAGACTAGAAGAGACTTTTATACAAAGTATTTTTCCCCATATAGGGTTTGAAAGGAGATAGGCAGAATTGGCGTTGCCACTTCCATCAGTAGAACATGCAGAGGAAACCAGGACAGGTGAGGCTGCACTGGAAGGACCAAAAAGCCATTGTGGAGGAAGGGAAGAGTATGGGAACATTGGGTCTGTGACCCAGTGAGTGTGAACCCATTGCAGTTTGTAGAGACAAAGGGCAAGGTGGCTTTGTGCTGAATGAAGTTACATACAACACACGGTACAGATGGAGGGGAAGTGACACTTCTTTGCAGACTGAGGGGGGTGATGGTGACAACACTGTTTCTGGTGGAATTCAGAGTGTTCATGGATGCAGAAAGAGGCTGGGAGAAAGTCAAGACTTGGTTAATTGTTGAACAGAACAATAGAAAAGCTTGGGTTGGAAATGACCTTAAAGCCTATCTAGTCCCAACCCTATGCTGTGGGCAGGGCTGCCCCCAACAAATCAGGCTGCCCAGAGCCCCATCCACCTGGCCTCAAGCACCACCAGGGATGGGACACCCAATGCATGTGCTCAGAATGAAATATGGGCTTGCAGACAGATGAGAAAAGAGGAAAAGTTCAGCATCAAAGTTAATGCAGCAGAACAATGGGAGAAGACAAAGGATGTGTTAGAGTATGAAAATGTGATAAGGTTCTGAGGCTTCTGAGGGGCTCTCCCCAGGGAAGCATCAGAGTTGTTAGGATGAAGAAAGCTCCAATAAAGCCAATATTTACTCTGATCATGGCAGGCTGAAAAGGTTGCCGGAGATTAATCATAGAGATATTGAAATGTAAGTAAGTGTTCAGTGACTTAAGTCCACTGGACTTATTGAAATGTGAGTTCAGATTCCTAATCACAGGAACTGTGCTAGCTTGCAGAGAGGCAAAGAGCAATGAGAGAAGGCATATTAAAAAGCAGACTGCCAAATATGGAGCTCTGTAGCTCAGTGGCCAGAGTCGCAGAGAATTTGACAGAGGGGGAGCAAGCTTCCCTCACAGCCCTGGGGCATGGCCAAAAAAGGGAGGGCCTCCAGCACCCCGGGTAGCAGTGGGGTGAGGCTGTGCAGGTACATTGGGTGGAACCTCACGGCAAAGGCAGCAAACGCCTTGGTGGGCAGGTGGGGGAAACGTTGAGAGAAAAGCAATGAAAAGAGAATTAAACATTAGAGAAAGACCCTGTGTAATTCTACAGACTGACTAGCTTTACTTTTGTATAAACAGTGGAATGAACTACTGTGCTTGCTTCAGATCACCAGCTGCCACTCAGGAAGCCACAAAGTGACAGAGGTGGTCTTCAGGCTGATAAACTCTGATGGACTTAAGCTAGAAAATGTGGTCATCCTCAAATAATTATTCCTTTCCTTGTGTAGGGATGCAAAGTCAGGCCTGGGAGAGGCAAGAGAAGGAGGGGGATGGCCATAGAAGTTTGAGAATATGGGCTCAGGCCAAAATGCTGCCTCTGCATTTTTGCACCACATGTGAGCCCAGGACAATTCTTTAGGTGCAGGTGCCACGTGCAGGTACTTGCCCCAGCACCTGTGCTGATCGGGGGAGCCACATGACTTCAAAGGGCTTCAGATATGGTGTAGGGGACTGGTAGGGGACAGTCTGAGCAGTGTTCCATCACAGTGAGAGTGCCGTTGGTTTGTCCAGAGAAGGTGTGACATCTGGCATCTGAAGTAGCCCAGAAACCTTCTGCAGGCCAAGACTCTATATTGGGATTCCCAAAATCTGCAGAGCACAGTGTATGGGCTGCTAGGGGCTGTTAGGCAATCCCAAAGGACTGTGACCATCCTGAACAGATCCCAGTTTCTGTAGCCATTCCCAGCTCCCATTTGTAGAGGCACATGCTGTGAAGGAGCTACCTGCTTGAGTGAGTGACGCTGGTGATGCCTGAGGATCCCTCTTCAATTAATGTTGAAAAAGTTGGGGTCAGGCATGCGGGACAAGGTGTGTGGCACCGTGCCCATGCATGGTGAGAGATGCTCTCAGCTACCACAGCACCGTGGCTCAGGATCTGGCCGTGGGCGGGCGGTGTTGGTCCTCTGATGACACAATCCAGATGTTTCTCCAGCACATAACACTCAGCCCTACTCTGCTTCAAGGAACACAGCTCAGCCTCAGTCCCGAGGTCCTCTCCACGCACTCTAATTCCCTGCAGACCAACCGTTGATCACGGCACGAGCCGCAGACCCGGGGATCCGGCGTTTTCCCCAGAGGCTCTTCCACGTATCCCCTCCCCGGGACCGCTGCCCCACGGGCCGGAGCCCCGTTTTGCGGCAGGGCTCTGTCCCGCCGAGCCCAGCTCCCAAATCTGCCCCGCCGGGCACCGGCCCCACCGCCGCCGGTGCCGGTGGCGGCTTTTTGGCATCCCTAATCGCGGCTGGCCCCTGTGATTGGCTGCGCGGCTCTGACCCCGCTCGGGCTCCCGGCTGGGCGGATAAAAGGGGCCTGAGCCGGGGGCTCCTAGGCATTCCCGGAGCGGGCACCAGGGACCGACGGCCGCAGCATGACGGGCAAAGCGGGCGCGGCGCTGGCCCCCAGCCTGCCCGGCAAGCCCAAGCCCGACGGCGCGGCCGCCGCCGCCGCCCCACCGCCGCCGCCCCCCGCGGCGGGAGCCAAGCCCAGCTCCGGGCCCACCCCTCCTCGCTGCACCGGCTTCGGCATCCAGGAGATCCTGGGCTTGAACAAGGAACCGCCGTCGCACCCGCGGGCCGCCCTGGACTCGCTGCCCGCCGGGCACCTGCTGGCGGCCCGCTCCGTCCTCAGCCCCGCCGGGGTGGGCGGCGTGGGCATGGGGCTGCTGGGGGCCGGAGGCATTCCCGGCTTCTATGCGCAGCCCACCTTTCTGGAGGTGCTCTCCGACCCGCAGAGCGTCCACCTGCAGCCTTTGGCCCGAGCGCCCGGGCAGCTGGACAGCAGCCAGACGGCCAGCTCAGGTAGGCACGGCCCCGGCCCCCGGGGGCACCGCCGCCCGCAGGCACCTCCGGAGCCCCGCGCCCGGCGGCGGAGAGGTGATTTCGTTTCGGAACCGAGGAGGAGGAGGAAAAGAACGAGGGAGCTCGGGACCGGCCCTCCCTGGCTGGTGCCGCGGCCGCGCCGTGACGGCACGGCCCGTGGCTGCACCGAACACCGGCGGAGCGGCCCTCGCCCGGCCCCGGCGGCCCCAACTCGTTGCCGGGAAATTAAGGCCCGCTCCCATCCAGTTCCTAGACGGCGACAGCCGCCCGCAGACCCCGCTCCCAAACCGCCCCCGTCCCTCCGAAGCGGCGAGCAGCGGTGTCCCGCTTTGCCACCGAGCGTCCTCCTGGAGCCCCCGTGCCGTGCCCGCCGCCTCCTCCCGCAGCGTGGCCGGGAGCGCGGAGCCGGCGGCGGGTGGGAAGCGGCCGGAGCTCGGGGCCAGCGCTGGGGCAAGGCGGCCCGCACCGAAACGCGCCTCCAGGCTCCGAGCTCCGGAGGCTCCCGAGGGGCGAAGGCGGCACCGCCCTGCCCGCAACACCCCCGGCCCGGGCACCCCTGGGACGCGCGGCGGCCGCGGGCAGATGCCATTCCCGGCAACGTTTTTCCCCGTGGCTGCAGCAACCTTTATTTTTCCGCCTTCCCGGCGTTTCAACTGAGCAGCGCGGGTCCCCCGCCCCGGGGCGGGAGGCAACGGGTGCTCGGGCTCGGGAAGGGGGCCGCGGCTCCCTCCATTTCCTACATTTTGTTGAGATCGCGGTCTCCGCGTTTCGGCGGCACGACAACGGCAGCCCCGCAAACGACTCCGGGCGACATAAGGGACGGCGAGAGCCCCCTCCCGGCCCGCGGCCCTTCCCGGAGGGGTACGATATCCCCGAGCCGCCCGCAGCGGGATCCGGGCCGGGGCCGGGCTGCAGCCCGCAGTCCCCGGCCGCGCCGCGATCGCAACGAAAGCTCCGGGCGGAGATGCCGGAGGGAGCGGATCTGCGGGGCCCCGGCGGGGAGCGAGCCCCAGCCCACGGCCGCTGCCCTTCTCTCCGCAGATTCCGAGGATGTCTCCTCCAGCGACCGCAAAATGTCCAAATCTTCCCTCAACCAGAGCAAGAAACGAAAGAAGAGGCGGCACAGGTAAGCAAAGCCTGGCGGCCCCGCATCTCCTCCCGGGAACCGGCAGCGCCGGGCCCCGCTGCCGCTTCGCGTCCACAGCAAGTAGGATTCGGGACGTGCCCATAGGAGCGGGAATTGCAACGGCGATCAGCTCGGTTTGGTTTGGTTTTCTGGCTGCGGGTTAGGGCTGAAAAAATCCCCAACCCGTCCCAAAGAGAAGAGGTGAAATAACCAAAAGGGCTCCTTGCTCCATGCTTAGCAACTTAAAATTGGGCTGTCAGCAAGAGAGAATTTATATCAAGGATCTCAAAACTGGCTACTTAAAAATCAATGTTTCGCCAATAGATGCAATTGTCGGGAGGTAGTCCCAGCCCGCAGAATGCCTGGAGACTTGCTCTAGGGAATGCTCTGGGGCTCGCTTCCCCCTAGGAGCGCTCCGGTAACGCTTCCCCTCACTCCTCCCGCAGTGAAAATGGAGTTGGATGTCCATGCTTTAAAATCGGAAACGAACCTCCCGCTTCTGTTGGTGGCACCGCTGGTGGCCGCAGGGCCGGGACGAAGGCACCTGGGCATCGTCCTTCGGGGCCGACAATGGAGCAATTAAATCAATCCCGCCACGGTGCGTGAGGTGAATTAAAGGTGCCCCAGCGAAAGCTCAGCGGCTGCGTGGGTCCAGAGGGATCCGAGCAGGAGGTGCGGGGGTTCGGCCTGAGTTTGCGGGGTGCTGCCGGGCAAGTGCTGTTCTGGAGCCAACGAGGATTCGTTTCTTTCTTGCGAGAGGAAACGACATACGAAACTGTTCCGTTTCCAGCTCCAAACAGCAACAGACCCGTAGTGCTGGTCGGTAGTTATACATTCTGTAAGGAATGGTTAAGGGCTGTGATTCTACCGCAGCTGACAGGCCGATAGCTCGCAAATAGCTGCAGGATGTGAGCAGCAAACGGCAGAGCGCGGTGTGTGCTGCACAGGGCCGGGGCTGCCCGGGAGGCAGCGAGGAGAGCCGAGTGGGTTCCGGGCGCTGCCCCGGCGCGGGAGGTGCGGGGCTCCGCTGCTGAACCGGATCCGAACGGGGAGCGCCGTTCCTCTGCACCCGGGAAGAAGCAACGCAGGAGCCGCCGTGCGCCTGTCCCCAGACTTCCCACGTTTGTGGGAACGAAAAGTGTTGGAAAAGAAAATGGATTTCGTTGTGAACGGGAACCGAGAGCTGACGGTGGGCAGGTGCCTCGTATTTGCATGCTGCTTTTGTAGGTAATGCCATCTATCTGGCAGCATCGTTCAGGTTCTAAATAGCGGAGGATATTTTTGAGACTTTCTGTTTGTGGTCTCTGAAATTTTGTGGCTTTCCTGAAACTCCTGCATATTTTTTAAAAACGATTTTTTTTTTTTTTTTTACTCATATATTTCTTAATGTGGTAATAATTTACACAGTTACCTCGAACAAAGGTTATAAGTTGCTGTTGTTGCTGTTTTTCTGGTAGGATTTTTTGTCTGCTATTTGTTGTTTTTTTTTTTGGTTTTGCCATCGGAATGCTGTGAGTTCTCAGTGAAAATTGCATTTTGCATACAGCAGGGTTTTAGGGTGAGAATGTCAGTCCCTGGGGAGTGGAAGTGGTCCAAGACCTCTCAGCCATCCCCTGAGAAGGGCTCTCAGCTGCCTTGGTGTCCCAGCTGCTGTCTTTTCAGTCTGCCTGTCCCAAGAGCCAGCAATGCTGTGGCTGCTGCCTGCCCAGGAGGGTTCCTGGAAGACAACAAGGCAATGCCAGCTGGCAGAGAGCAGCTACTGGGGTATCAGTGTGGGAGCAACCAGTGTGAAGGTGGAGAGAGGGAGCTGGCACTGCACATCTGGGAGCACCAATCCAGGGAAGGGCAGGGTACAGCAGTAGAGCACTGAGTAGGTAAAGGCTTGGGAGGGTTCAGTGGGAGCCCAGGCTCCAGGGGAGGCTCTCTGCCCCCCTGCTATCTATGCAGGGATGTCCCCAGCAGGATGTCCCTGACCGGGAAGGTGATTTGTAACTATACCAAGCTCTGTCTTCAGCCATTTCTGGTTCTCCTTTCACCCTGACACCTGACCTTTTGTGCACAAAAACACAGGAGGCAAAGGGGAAATACTATGCCTTATCAATTACTCAGGTTTCTGTAGCATCTGTGTTCATTTCTCTGACTCTGTATATCCTTTGCCTTCTGTTATGTTTTTTGGTCAAAGAGTTTTGTTCCTCTCAGGACAATCTTCACATCCTACCAACTGGAGGAGCTGGAAAAGGCCTTCAATGAGGCTCACTACCCTGATGTGTACGCTAGAGAGATGCTGGCTATGAAAACAGAGCTGCCAGAAGACAGGATACAGGTAACAGTATTTCTCGGGTCCCCTTGTCCTGCCTCTTCTGCCCATGCTCATCCCAACCTGGAAGGAAGGAGACACATGGGGCAGAATTTGCTTCTCAGATTGAACCGTCATGGGCTGTCCATTCCCTGCTTTAAAAATGTGGGCAGCCAGACCAGCTGGTTTTTGTCCATTTGTATGTGGGGTTTGTCTGTCAACATGTGCTGCATGTGGGATGTTGCAGTGGTGATTTGGAGTGTGTGTGTTAAAGAGGGAATCTTGAATCACTGAAGGGGAACTGCTGTGCAAGAAACATCTGTAGGGTTTTGATGTATTGGTAGTATAGGTGATGAGAGTTGGCTGGAGTCAGGATCTGGGTGGGCAGTCTGGGTGATATGGATCTCATCTGTGCCCCTCTGGACTCAGACCCAGGGGCCACAGCAGGTAGTTTGCCCCTCTGTGGGCAGAGTTGAGAGGTGAGCCTCAGATGGGATGTCTGCACATCTCTGTGAGTTCATTGCATTTGCCTCTTCAAATACAGCTTTCCTGAATGTTTCTGTGGATCTTTATTTTTCTGATTACATGCAATGTTTGGGCATTATTTGTGTGCCAGCCCTGTGGTGACATTGCAGAATGTTCTTGTGTGGGTTCAACATGAAGGTGACTTCAGGGTGTCTCCAGCAACTACCAGGGTGGACTCCAGCAACTACGTCATGCCTGGCTCCCTCCAGGTTCCTTGCAAGGCACAGGGATGTAATGGCCAAGTCTTGAATCCGTTTTTGCTGATGCAGTATTTACAAGAGCATTGCATTTGCTGTTAGGTGAATCTGTTAGGTGAGTCCTGGTTTCAAAGTGAGCTGGGCTTCTTGCCCATTGTCAACAGGACTCCTGCTGACCTAACAGCTTGTAGACACTCTGTGCATGGATGAGATTTCTGCTGGACTTCAGAAGTCCCTTTGTTGGAAATTCTACCTGCCATTAGATAGGATTTTTGTCTGAGCAGCAGGACCCAATAATTTGCCTCTAGAGAGAGTGAGCTGGATGAGAAGTCGCTTCTGCACATGCATAGGTTAAAAAGCCCAGGGAAAAGGGATCTGTGGAAGGTCAGTGTTGCCTGCATCCACCATCTGACGCTGGGCTGGCAGGAAGGCCTTGTGCACTACATGCACTGCTTCACATCTGGGACATCCTCCTGGCACTGGGAGCCATTATGTTATCTGACTGGGAAAGGAAGAAGTGGCTAACTCATCCCAGTTCTCTGGCATGCTGCCTGTCATTCTGTAGCAGGCTGATGAGCAACTACAACTCTTCCTGTACTGCTGAGCTTTTAAACCTAGGAGAGCTCTCTGCCATGACCCCTTGCCCCAGAATTCAAGGCAAATGTGGCCTGCAGAAGCCCCCAGTGATGTGGATGTTCTGAGCAATAGGTGCTGCTAAAGGCACAAGTATTCCAGGAGAAAGTCCTCTTGAGTGACATTTTGCTCATCATGAAAGGGGAAATCTAGAGAAACCACAGAATTCCTGTGGCATCTGTTGTGTGAGTGCCTGAGGGTGAGTGTCAGGGTCATATAAAAGCCCTGAGCACCACTGATGGGGAGAAGCATCCATTCCCACTGATCCTTCCAAAGAGTCAGCACCAGAGCAACCCTTACCACGTGCTACACGAAGCCGCCCTATTTATACTTGTTATTTTGTGTCACAAATCAATTCCCAGCTTTGGTCATGTTGCTTGATATTTCTCTCATGTTTCAGCTTAGCTCTCTTAGTATGAGTTGTTTCTCCTTTTATTATAGCATTTTCTAAGCACAGTCATGGCCACCAGCTTAGACCATGGTGCGAGGTTGATGTTGGGATGGGTCTGAGAGCAGGGCAATACTCTGTGATATTACTGAGTGCTTTGAGAGCTTACCAGGGTTTCAATTTCATGTAAATACTTCAGTATCTGGTGACAGAGGCTTCCACAGCAGAATCGCATGAATGAAGTACATCTTGCTTTGAATCCATGAGCACCATTTAATGCCACACACTTCTCCTCTTGGAAGAGGCAGACAACAATTAATCTTTATTCCCTTCTTCATAATGTTTACAATTTTGCATCATCTTATTTTTTTTCCCTTGCATGTGTTTCTAACTGTATGAGGGAAGTCTCTATTTCTGCATTCTCACTGAAGCCTGCAGTTTCTCCCGTCTCTCAGCACTGCTCTCTCTCCTGTAGGTCATTAATGTGCGTGATTTCTCAGATTGTTGTGGATATCACATGGCATGGGCTCTTGCAGCATTTCATGTGAGTTCCCACTGGATCCTCACCTAAGAGTGATATCTGCCCCTTATTTTCATTCATGGGATTATTTCTCAGGAGGTAGTAGTCAAAGAGAAAGTAAATCACCTATGAAATTCAATATGAAAGTGAAATTCAGAGAGTGCAATTGAGAGAATGATATATAGGAACTGCTTGCGTGTAAAACCTGCAGCAGAACACTACAAATAGCCATCAGAGGCCACAAAAGTTATTGGTTTGAGAGAATATTGAATTCAGGAGAAGATATTCAAATCTTCCATTTACAGAGAAGATGAGCATGTATTTTTTTTCAAGGCAGCATTCCTTGCCTTGCATATACCATCTCCTGCACTGAACTGGCTGCTGCTGGGAGGAATGTGAGCGTCTTCCCACTGGGCAACTTGGGAAAAAGATTTGATTTTCCTGATGAGACACAAGTCAGACCAGATGTCACTGTGGCCATTTTGCACGGTACTTGAAATAGACCACATTAATCAATGCATTGAGAAAAATATTCAGAAGAGTTGAAGCGCTGCTATTAAAATAAACTCAGACCATCCTGTACAATGTAGGTGGGGTAAATAGGTTTTTGTGGGGATGTTTATCCTGAATAGGCAACTTCAAGTGCTGAAAACAGCACAGATTCTCTTAAACATAACGTGGGGATTTAGATAAGTTATCTCTATTGAGTTTATTAATATGTGACATTTCCAAACTTTAAATGCCATTATCTATAATACTAAAGGTCAGTAACAGATTGATTTGGATTATTGAAATGAGAGTAGTGTTGTTGTTGATCTTTCCAAGGTTTGAGGTTCCAGCCTGTCGTAATTACTCTCAGTAGGTGAGAACCTGGCCATTTTCAGGTGATTCTCACATTTAGGCCAGGCACAGGGCCAGTGGGTTTCCACCCATGCAGCAAGTTGATGGTGACTGTGTAGCTGGAGGTGAATGACCAGAATGAATGGGCTGCTTGGTGGTAGATTATCAAGGTGATGGAGAAGCTGAAAATGTTGCTATTGTGTGAGCCAACCTTTTCAACAGCATTTTTTTTTTTTTTTAAAGAAGTTTCTCATGAAATAGAGCTGAGGAGCTATGCTGGCAACCTTTTCCAATAATTCCTGAGCACTGGGGCAAGCCACAGCAGTATGATACCAGATAAATATCATTAACTTTCCCTGTGCTTTTAGAGATGTAGGAAGTGTACAAGTGAGAGTAATAACACTAATCAAGCTTACTGGCTTGGTGAAAATATTATTATGAGTGGTTTTCATAGCGTATGGTACTTCTCTGCCTCCATGTCTTTAATTGGTATGTGAGAGGTTCATCCACTTTGCTGCCTCTTCAATATTGTGCTTGTTTAGTTCATCTAACTTCATATTAATTTTCATTTTTCAATTAAGAGTTGTTTAATTTGGCCCTTTCTGTAATTGAGTGTTTTCATTACCCTTTATCTATGGCTCCTTTTTAGTTCATGTGCTAAAACTTTGTTTATGAGTTAATTACCATAGCTGTAAACAGAGGGGCTGGGTGGTGTGCAAACACAGGAGCCCTTGCAATCCTGGGTTTGCCACCTGAAAAGTCTCACAGTACATGCATTTGGACAGAGCAAAAAATGAGTCAAAAATGTAAATGGGTGGCATGGAACACCTGTTTACTGTGAAGTGGAAATGTCCTGCCTGTTGCTAGACTTTGCAGGTAACCTGCCCTGTTTGTGGGTTTTACCTGAGTAGAGTTGGGGTTGTAGGCATTGTTTAATTTTTTTGGTGGTGGTGGTGGTGTGGTTTTTTGTGTGTTCTTTTTTTGTTTGTTTTTGAGCAGTGATGGAGGTACAGAGGTATGTACCCCTGTATTTCCATGTACCACTCTGTCCCACTGCATTCCATCCCCGAGTTCTGTTGGTTACAGACCAGATTTCTAAATGGGTCAGAAATTCAAACTAAGCTAACCTTGGAGATCTTAGTCTTCTGCCTTCTGCTCTGCCCCTGCAATATGTTCACAACCATCACAGCATAAGGAACAGCGTGATTTTGGTGTGCTCCTCCATAGTAGCAAGAGGGAAATGGTGCAGTGCTTTCTCTGTGGTTTGGAGAGCCCATACCTAAGGACAGGCACCTCCAAGTATTGGGACACCTCTTTTCTCTGCGAGAGGGAAGACAGCTACCAACAAAATATACCATAAGCCATTGCTGTGAAGGCCTTGGCAGGGCCTTTCTCCATCACAGACGGGAGAATGAGGGAGGAATGGCTCTGCAGGGTCAGTGCCACACTATAACTACTCAGGATCTCCTCCCCATATTTATCCCACTGTTTTCTTAACAGTTCTCTGAATTAGCTGAGGCATTAGTTGCTTCAGTTGTTCAATAGTGAATTCCCTTCTAACCTTTGGGTGCCTGGCAGAGGGGCCAGCTGATGGTTGTGTTTGGGTTTTCTCTTAATGACCTTTTATTACAAATTTTTCCTCCCTTCCTGACTTTGAATGCGTTTTTTTTTTTTTTAATGGTTCAATAACTTAGGTGCTTTGGATGCGCAGTTAATTTACTTTTCTCCTTATTTCTTAATGGTTTTCTTTTGTGTATGTGGTTTTGTTTTGTTTTTGTATAGTGCTTATCATTTACCTTAATAGATCTCAATAACTTAAGCTTGGCTCACCCAGAGGGAGGCTGAGCTGAGTAAATCTGTGTGCAATGTTGCTGGTAGGGAAACAGCTCCTTGGAAGGACCAAACTAACTTGACCATGTAAACG